CATTGGCCAGCTGTGTGACGCCAACAAGCCACTCAACCTCTCTGGGCTTCAGCGTCCTCCCAAATATAACGGAAATTAAGAGCAGGCTTTCCCCACAGGTCTATGTGAATGGTGAGTGACGTGGTCGGGGGTGAGCACAGAAAGGGCCTGACCCGGGGTTAGCGTCAGACAGGACAGCTGATGGAGAACAGACACTGTCCAAGTCCCCCTTGTTGAGGACATACTGTGGGGGCCCAGAGCTTACAGTGTCTCTCATGAAATCCTCCTAGTGTCACGTGCCAGCACGCTGCCATCTGATTGGCGATACAGTTATTCCCATTTCTAAAGACCTTCTTAGCGGCCCTCTCCTGGAAAGGAAATCAAATCCAGGGTCCTTCCCCTTAAACACTGTACATTCCAAACAGTGGCGGGAAGATGCCACGTGGCCATGCCGCACCCTCCTCTGGAGACCTGCCTCTCTCACAAAGTCAGAGGCTGAGCCAACAGACACCCCAAGTGAGCCTCCTTGCCCCCCTTCCCTCAAGTGACGAGAGCGCGTAGAGACACTGCTCTGTGTCAAGCGCCCCCATTGCTGAAGAGTGACCCACTGTGCCTTCTGAGGCCGGCGGGCTGCAGCGGCCACACCGGCATTGGCCACGGTTGCTATCAGCTCACACAGGTGAAACAGGACCGGTCCCCAGCCCATGACTCGGTTCCTGAACAGACCAACACTTGCAGATCACAGGGCTAATCAGCGTGGCCAGCAGCTCTAATGAGGAGTCCTGGGATTCCCGAAATTAGGATCAGAGTCATCCCACTGAAAGAATTCAAAGTTAATTGAAATCAATTGTACAGCTCCAACAGCAGGTGCTTTAAAAGGCTAAAATAGCAAAGTGAACTCCTTGGACTGGCGGGAGAAGATGGCACAGTCACTGTCCACCTCTACCAGCAGTGACAAGCAACAGGGTGCCTGAAAAGTGGACAAGCCACCGTGCCAAGGCCCCAGCTCCCCCAGGGCAGAGCAGGGCCCGATGGGCGCAGAGCCCACAATTCTCTTTAAATCAACCCCTTTGCTTCGTAGTTCAGGTGCACTTTCCCACCTATGACCTGATTTCATCTCAACAACATGGGGAGGTAGGTCTTGTTACCACACCCGCTTTCAGATGGGAACGGAGCTTGAGGAAGCAAAAAGGCTTGCCTGGCGCTGCTCAGCGGGTGCAGGGAGCTGGGACGTGCGCCTTGGTGCTGTGGCTTTAGGGCAACGTCATGCTATCCTCCAGCAGGAGACGAGGCAGGGGCTGAAATACAGGCACCCTCTCGATGGTCCCCAGCTGTCTGACCTTGGGAGGTCGCCCTTCTCTGACCTGTCCAGCAGGGAGGGTTCACCTGCCCAGCCGGACCCAAGTCCTGGAACTGTCCTGACAATCAAAAAGTTATGCATCAGGGAGATGAAGGAACAGACCCACTGACGGGTAGCGGGGCTACAGGCAGCCAAGGCACCGTATGTGCAGTTTGTTTCCACGTTTCTGTACAGGCGCAGACATCACCTCCTCAGAGCGATCCCCACACCCCCCATCACAGCACATCACCCCATCTGCTGCTGGGACGAGCCTGGTGGTGAAACCTCTCATGCAGATACCTCACTGGGCCCGACGGGATGGGGAACTGTGGTAACCTGCCCGTCCCCCCAACTTTATGGGACGACGTTTGCAAGCCGAGACCAAGGGAAAGCACTTCTTAAGTGTAAAACCTTATAAAACAAGACGCCTGTATCACTAACAGCACAGCACCCACTATCACTCCCATTTCCCCAGCACCTGGCAGGAGCTTGTTACATGTTTGTGGAGTTAAACTGAGTTGTTCCCAAGACTTGTCCACAGCCCAATGTCAAGTGTACAAAGCTTGTTTCGGAATCGTGTGTTTAGTGCACCCACTAGGCATGTTTATCTGTGTTATAGATGTTTGTGTGTGCACAGAACATTCCCTATGGACACACCTCAAAACCACAAAACCACAAGCTGGGGGGGGGGGAGAAAGGGAGAGGGGCGTCTCAAGTCTGTACTGTGAATTTCTCCCCCCCCAAAAACATATTCCTGTTGCAATAAAAACTTTTTTAAAAGTAGAATTCTTCTTTGTCTCCTAAATGTTACAGAAATGATAGAAAGACTGATCACCACCTTCCTTCGCGTTAGCAGCAGAACGGTAGTTATATTTTTCTTACTTCAAATACATATATATCCTCTGTTTAGTAACATAACCCTGGACAAATTATTAAGTGATTTTATCTACGTTATGTAAACTTCATATCTATTGGTATAATCAGTATGTTTATTATTACATACTTTATAGTCAAACTGAAATAAAAGTGCAACCAACAAATATAAACATGTGTACGTGTGTACACACACACAAACTTTTTCTTAAAACAACTGAGTGCAGTTGCCCAGAGGCTTCCTTACTTCCCGGCTCTAAGGAGCGCTGGTGTAGGCAGAAGGTGGGGGAGTCCACGTGTGGCCCCTGCCCTCCCAGCCTGTTAGGTACTGGTCACCCAGGGCTATGGGTCCAGCAGCCTCCCCGCCTCCTCTCCCACGTCATGCACGGGCCCCGCCATCCCTGCAAGGGCCTCTCCATGCAGGTGACAAGCATCTATGGAGCTCATGCGGCCGGGGCAGACAGGGAGGGACTTCAGGTCTCCGTCCCTCTCCCGCCTCCTCATCTGCCCTGGGCACCATCCTACGTCATCCTGACTCCTGGTCATAAAACCCAGGCCCTTCATCCCAGCGTCTGATGCCTTCCTGCTAGGCCCCAACCTGCCTCCCCTGCTGTCTCCTGCTCTCTCGCACAGGTTTACTACAGAAACCCACCAGCACCGCCGGTTTTCTCACGCTAGTTCCCCTCAGTGGGCTTGGCCGCCAACTCCTCCTGCCCACAACCCCAGGCGTCCTCGAGGACCCCCCAGGAAGCCATCCTCAATCTCCAGGCCGGACGTGACCCAGGGTCTGCCACAGCAAGACCATCACAGATCTTTTCTGAAATCTCCTTGAAACACGGTTCTCTATGCCTCACTTTATTGTGAGGTTTCCAAGGGCAGGGACCTGCTGGTGTCATTCATCTGTGTGTCCTCTCATTTCAAACACATGATCTTTACAAATCTACCATTTATTGCATGCCTACCACAGGCTGGGGACTCTGCCAGGACGGTTAAGTATGTCACTGCTAAGGTTCACACCCATCTTTTTACAAAGTCACCCACTGGTTCAATAATAAGCATTCAGCCCCTTTGAAGCACTGCTCTGAGAATCCGGGGTGGGGGAGTGGGGGGAGGGTGGCAGGGTACAGCAAACAGCCCCGCCCCTTGCAGAGCAGACATGAAAGGATCAGGGGACATGGCAAGCGCTCTCAAAGTTCCAGAGAAGCTGCTAGAAAACCACCAAAGGGGCTGCACTGCAGCGTGCAGAAGTGAGGCAGAGGGCGCCCCAGGAGAGGCAGAGCAGGTGGGCAGGGCCATCCCCACAGGCTCTGTGGGACCTCAGGTCTCATCACGAGAGCAGTGGAAAGCCATTGGCAGGTCTCGAGCAAGGGAGCGCCGTGATGGCTGTCAGGTTTGAAGGCACCTACTCTGGTGGAGAACGTAGCGGAGGGGACCGGAGTGGATGCAGTCCACTGTTCACAGCAGCCAAAAGGTGGACGCAACCACGTGTCCCCTAGCTGGTGATTGGGGACACAGAATGTGGTCTTGCCAGACCATGGAACAGTCCTCAGACATAAGGAATGAAGTACTGACACAGGCTACAGCTTGGGTGAACCTCGAAACATGATGCTCAGCGAAAAAGGCCAGTCATATAGGACCAAATATCATATGATTTCATTCATATGAAAAGTTCAGAATAGGAGACTCTATGGCAGCGGTTCTCAACCTTCCTAATGCCGCGACCCCTTAATACAGTTCCTCATGTTGTGGTGACCCCCAACCATAAAATTATTTTCGTTGGTACTCTATAACTGT